CTAAAAAGCCTAGAAATTGCTTCTATTACCTGATTACAAGAATATTAAATGTTACTAAAAAGCTTTCGTAGAATTCATGAATGTTAAGGAAGCAATCATATCAAAAATCTTTTGAGGTAGAAAACGTCTCATGAAGGTTAATGACAATGGCAAAGTCAAGTGGTAATACTTCATTTATCAAGAATTAAAGGTCTGAAGCTTACATGTACATGACCTTATGCTCTTTTCAAGTATATACTCAACCTCCCAGCAAGAATCTTCACAGATGGAGCTAATTGTCTGTAACTGAAAATGTACCACAGGCAACTAACACAGAGCTTGGGACTGGGGCGTGGGTTACAACCACTGACATAAACATACTGAGACTGGATTACATTTACACAGACTGCACAGGTGTCTAATAACTTCAGCTATCTGTAATACAGAATAAAAACAGACTTAAAGAGGCGAAACAAAGTGATGCTGAGTGGCCCATGATACAATGATGTAACCATGAGTATCCCGTCCTTAAAGAAGGAGACAGTGAAGCAATCACAGCAGTCGATGGGAACACTTCCAAGGCTCCCACCACAAGGGGAAATGCTTGCGTGAGGGGAAAGAAGAGTCTTCTCAGAGGGCTGTTTTACAATACATATGACTTTAAAAGGTTTATAACATCAGCACTGGGACACCTTGGTGACTTATGGTTAAGTGCACTAGTCTGGTTAAAATAAAATAGTATTTGGGCTGGGGGTCAAGTTCAGCAGCAAGGTGCTTTCCTAGCATGCATGAGGCTCTGGGGTTCAAGCCAACCTACTTCAGTTCAAGCAAAGCAGCTCTTTACACCCCTCATCCAAAGAAGAAATTTGACATTTCAAAGAAACAAGTGTCTACAATTTCCTCTATTTTCATTAACGGATTATCTCACAATAGAGAAAATACCTTAACCTAGATAATATTCCCCAACTGAGTTACAAAGCATCCCACCTACTTTAAGATGACACAATGACAGTATATACTAAAGCCGCTGATGACGGGCAAAGACCAACGTGTGGAAAAGGTCTTGGTGGAGAGAAGCCCTCGGAGATAATGAACTCTAATTCTCACACCCACCTACTACACATTATTTCTAAAAACGCCACCCTCTGACGACTTTCCCCAAGGCCTCCCCCACCTTCAGTTTTTCGCGACAGGGTCTCTCTGTGTAGCCTTGGCTGTCTTGGACTCACTTTGAAGACCAGGCTAACCTCAAACTCACAGAGATCCATCTCCCTCTGCCTCCCCAAGTGCTGGGATTGCAAGCATGCACCTTCCCCAAAGTCTTAAGCATTTTCTTAGCATACATTACACCTTGAACTTTGAGAAACTTAAAATTGAAAAAAAAATAAGCTCAAATAATCAACACGTTTATTTATAAAGTATAAACCAAAATAAACTTGTCTGTCTTCATTTGAAAACAGCAGAATAAGTTACTTCAATGAAGTATGAGGATATGGAACTAACATATTTTGAGGAGATGTAACAGAACTCACTATATGTCTCAAAGTCCTAATTCTTCAGGCACAAAGAAATGACTCATCTGGGAAACTGAAGACCATGTTAAAACTAACCACACCTCTTTCTGTCCATTACATGTAACATGTAAGAACAATTTTTGTTGTTGTTGTTTTATTCTTTTTGAAGACAGGGTCTCTTCTGGATGTACCAGGTTGGTCTCTAAATCACAAAAATCCACCTATTTCTGCCTCCCAAGTACTGGGCTTAGAGGCATACACTACCACGCCCTGCTGGGAACAATTTTTGAAGTACCTATTATTATTATTATTCTCATTGGTATCTGCTCTCTACTATTTATAGAATTTCATTGTTCTAAGAATTCACTGAAAGGACAGCCCTGAAATGTTCTCTTCTGTATATTGTACTTAAAACATGTTGTCTCTCATCTGGCCACCACATTGATTGGGACAAAATACCTTGATGGTGCTTTTAGAAACTTTCAAAGAACCAACTTAGACAAAAACAAAACCAAAAAACCACCCTTCGAATACATGGTGTATATTTTAAAATGCCTCCGTAGGTCTAGGAATGTGGCTCAGTAGTAGACCCTTAACACAGAGTGTACCCTGGATTTGATCCTCTGCATCTGCACCCTCCTCACACCCACCGAAGGCCTAGAGAACACATCACCAAAAAAGATTCTGGTACTCCTCTCCTGAACACTAATAACCTAGGCATCAGTGAGAATTTAAGAAGGCTGGAGTTAAGTGGTTAAAAGCATGTACCATTCTTTCAGAGAGCCTGGGCTTGTCCTCCAAGAGCCCCAGCATTCATTCATGTGCAAACACACACAAACGTAATTGAAAAATAATAAAAACAGGGGCTAAAGTGATAGCTCAGTAGTTAAGAGCACTTGTTGCTCTTGCAAAGGACCTGGGTTTGTTTCCTAGCACCCACACGGTAGCTCACAACCACTTGTAACTCCACTTTCAGGTGATCCAATGACCTCTTCTGATTTCTACAGGCATCAGGCCTATGTTTCACAGAATACACTAAGTAAATCAATCTCTTTTTAAAAATGTGAAATAATGAAAATAAATCCTTAAAAAAAGAATTAAACTATAGATAGAACAGCACTAGAAAAACATGGCAATGAAATACCTAGGGAAATGTATAACTTAGCACATATGTTGATTTAAAACCTTGAAACAGGATCTGAAGAGATGGCTCAGAGATTAAGAGTATTTGCTGCTCTTCCAGAGGACCCAGGCTCAGCTGCTCACGCTCACATGGCAGCTCACTGCTGTCTGTTCCAGCTTCAGCAAATCTAACACCCTCTTCTGGCCTCCACAGGTACCAGGCATGAATGTGGTGTACAGACATACATGTAGGCAAAATACTCATACACACAATAAATAAACAAACGAATGAATGAATGAATGTATATATACACAATAAACAAACCTTAAAACAAATTTCTCACATTTAAACAGTGAGCACAAAGTAGCACAATCAGACATTATTACAATGTTTACAAGTTAATTTTTCAAATCCTGAAATTACTGAGGAATTTTAAAAACATCACAGTAGTCACTGAGGAAAACAGTAAGATGCCAAAAAACAAAACAAAAAAAAAAAAAAAAAAAAAAAAAAACGGGGGTGGGGGATATTCCATAAAATACAAAACACAGAATGTCAAGACAATCGAAAAAGAGGAATTTAGTATGACCCAAAACTAAGGAAATGTATATTCCAACTACAGTGTGATACTTGTGGTGGGTACAAAAGTCCATGTCTGGCCTCCAGGCTCTCAAGTGTGTAGGCAGCACAGTCACACCCACTCTGTCGGGATATAACTTGCACAACTACTCCGAAATCAAGTAGATAGCCTTTGATTCCAAAACATATTTATATACGATAAATACATAGCATTGACTTAAAATGAAGTCGAAAAATACAACAACACAGCAATGCTCAACAAAACAATCATTAGTTAGAACATGTCAAAGTAATATATTACATAGCTAATAAAAATGCTTAAGACTCTACAGAGCTCAACGGTATACTGCTTGCCTAGCATGAGCAAGGTTATCTCTGTATTTGTGTGCATGTGTGTGCAATCCCTAGCACAAACAAAAAACTACTATTTTTAACTGTAAGTACAAAAATGGGTTAAACATAATTTACAAGTTGAAAAATCAAGAAATTACATTTTCACAAATCCACTAAATTATGAAGACAGAAAAGATAATTTGGCAGAGAATCAAAACTATAACTTGATTATTTCGTATAGTGAAATACCACAGGCACATGTTCTATATCTCTAAGACAGCAGCAAGGGGTTTGATTAACACTGAGGAATGAGGAGCAGGGAGCATTTTGTCTGCTGACACTTTAGCAGACTGCTCTTGCAAGCCAGTACTAGTTGCTCTCGCCCACTACATTACACAAGATAGATAACGATTATGGTTTTAAATAAAAACTACAGTAAGCAGCCATCAAAACAAATCTGCTACTGAATCAGCAAGGTAGTTCATGCCTTTAATCCTAGCAATGAAGAGGTAGGAAGATTCCAAGTTCAAGGCTAGCCTGGCCTACATCATGTCAAGATCCTGTCTCAAAGTTTTTAAAAGGGGGATTATATTATAATGTGATATTTAAGGGGGAACCGAAGCTGTAGCTCAGGATGCAAGCACTTGTCTAGGACACATAAAACCCTGGGTTCAATATCTAGCACTGTATGAAACTATACATGCAGGGACACTCCTGTGTAATCCTAGCTATAAGAAGTGGAGGCAGGAGAATCAGAAGCTCAGAGTCATCCTCGGCTACACATAAAAAGGGGAGAAGGAGTAGTTCTTCTACTACATTAGGTAAAACATGGGAGAAATAACTATGAAGATAAATTACCAATGGTACATACTAAAGAATACAAGACAATGCCCCTGCAAGAGAAAAACACAAAAGCAGGCTAGCTTCTACTAGCATTTATTAGTGTTCATTTAGCCTCCCCTTTCAGGCTCTTGATACAGCTGTGATAAAATAAGGTTTCTGCCCCCAGGGAGCGCACAGTCTATTAAAGGTGTGTCTGATAAACAATCAGTGTAATCTTTCAGGAAACATTAACACATATTAAAATATGAATAACAAGCAAGGTCCCTACATATCTTGTTAGTCTTTAAATACAAGGGAGATATGGAAAGACAGAAGTTCATTTTTGGAAGTTGGGGGGATACACCGGGAAGGAGAAGAAGGAGAAGGAGAGGGAGAGGGAGAGGGGGAGAGAGAGAGAGAGAGAGAGTGAGAGAGAGAGAGAGAGAGATTAAAAGCCATGGCCCACCATATCTACACTCAATGCATTTCTCCTCTACGGCCTCCTGCAGAAGCTGGTGTAGCACACTGGCTACTAAACCATGATAAGACGTCTACACCTGGATTAAGGTCCAAATATGTTTCTGCCCACAAGAAAAACCAACAGTTTAAAATGAAAAGGTTAGTGACCACACCTTAACACATTCTCTTACTTTTGCAGGAGAGCGTTGTTTCCGCTTCTTCTTTTTCTGTAAGTCTACTGGCTCTCTGACTTGCTTTTTGTCTCTCATCAGTTGCTCAGATACATCAGTAAAAGTAATTTCCTGCTTTACACTTATCTGTTTAAAAAAAACAAAGCTGATTTTAGAAATGCATGAAGTCCAATGTGCATTCTGAAGTACAACTTCTAACAAAATAACCTGGGGGTATTTCTTGGGGTACTAACATATTACCCACAGGACAGACATGATTAAGCTTGAGGATGGACTCTAAATAGGACTCACTCTATACTTCGTAAATTGTCTCAAGTTAGCCAAAAAGGTTCACTGGTTATTAACAACTCCTTCCATCTGTCCCTTCTCCCTACACATGGGATCTAAATCAAACCAACCAGGATAAACTCCAGTCTGCTGATGAGCAATGAAGAAAGAAAAAAAAAAAAAAATCAAACTACAGGATAGTTACTCAACAATGTCAGAGAAAACTGTTAAAAGACAAGGTGTGTGTGTGTGTATGTGTGTGTGTGTGTGTGTGTGTGTGTGTGTGTGTGTGTAGGAGGGTTATGCCAGAATTGAAATGGCATGGTAACATATGCCTGTACTTCCAGCACTTTGGGGACTAAAGAGGGAAATCATGGGGTTGAAGGCAGCCCAGACTACAAAGCAAAACCTTGTCTTAACATCAGTAACAAAAACAAAGTCACTTGTGTTAATCCTTCCCAGAGTAACCAAAGCCAGGAAGTGGGGGAAATGGATCTTACCCATGCATACCAGACACTAAATTCCTTCCGCTGGAGTTCACACTCACAGAGCTTGAAACAAGAGGTAGAACTTACTCCGTCTTCTTTAACTCTGCTCTACAAAGGCACTCCTACTTTCAAGCATAAAGATCCTGGCTCTGTTCACCTCTGTGCTTCTGTCATGAGGGTCTCTGCTCTCATATACTAGTTTATCACTGCGCTGGGCAATCTATATGGCTAGAGTAGCTGATACTCTAGTTCTCTCAACACTGAGAACATTCATACACAATGAAAGAATTGTAACAGGCACTTAGAAACTGTTTTTGCTAAAAAGCACTGACTCCTCATTTGGACTTCAAGGTAGCTTAGGATAAAAGCCTGGCTTTCTCTTGGTTTTATGTCTGTCTCCTTTACCTGAGGTACCTGCCTCCCTCTTCAACAGTGTCTATATAGTCTACCTCATCTCCTAAATGGCTGGTGGCATAGATAAATCACTGTCCTTACTACCCACTCTTCTTGAGCCACCTTGGATACCAAGGAAAGTGTATCCTCACAGGACAGAGTTCCCTGGAGCAGAAGTAATCCTGTCCTGATAACAACCCATCCCTGTAAGCAGGAGACTTCTTCAAGTTCAACTAGAGCTAAGACAATGGTGGAAGAACCATGCCATGACAGGGCTGCTTGATTTTAATTCTTTCTTGCCCCTTACACCAGTTTCTCTAAACCTAAACCTCATGTCAGTGCTCTAAAAACAAGGCTTAACTCACTGGACCTCTTTGTATGGTTCTCTTCCCGTGGCTCACAATGGATAAACCTCTCCTGCCTTCTGTTTTGTGAACCCCCCCCCCAAAAAAAATTGTATCTTATTCTTTTTTGCTGGGCCTACATAAATGTTTTCAGGGCGACTATAAGTACACATACACCAACTGAAAGTGCTAAAGAATTAATAGGCAGTTGAGAAACAATAACAGAGTATACGAAACTGAAGAACTCTGTTGCACTAGAGAGAAAATAAGAGATTAATGATGTCTTTCTTGTCCAGGGGATGGTAATAAGACCTAACAGCACACAGTGAGGTAAGTAGCATCACTTCATTGCCACAATTAAGGAACTAAATAATACTGAGGTTACAAGCCCAAGCAAGATTAGGTTCCAACATACAACACTGGTTTGTAGTTAGACATCAAGATGTCTAGTTGAAGAAAACACTACAAAATTCTAAAAACATCCTATCAAATGAAAATTAAAGCAAATAATGAAAATCAATGTTTTATGATCAACGTTTTCCCCTTTTCTATATCAACATTTTTATAGCCTAGTAGCCACTTTCTTCCTAGCCTTTTCAACAAATCATTACCAAGTGTATAATTATAAAGATGTGTAAGTTTTTACTCAAGACATAATGCTTACTCTACAATAATTAGGGAAACAGTCCAGGAGATGTGCAATGCTAACACTGCTATCCCATCTACAATCTCGGTCCCAGCACTGCTTGCCTGACATTAAGGCCCTCAGGTCACTAATGATACAGTCAAGTCTCATCTGCTTGAGGATCCTCATCGGCCCCCCTCCTCACCGCAACCTTTATATTTATCCTTAGAACGAATGCAAATATTCTGAAATTTTGCTATAAAAATCTGAAAATCATCTAAGTAAACACAAGGTGCTAATGCCTGAAGTGTTCTGGCAAGAAAACAGTGCTTCTAAGTACCTAAGAGGCCATTCAAACACTTGGTCCCAAAAGAGTTGCTTTTTCCCTAGGGAAGGGGATCACCAAAGCCCACCAGCCCGGGGAGGAACTTGTCTCCTGGGAAAGGATTTCACATAATTTCAACAAATGATCAGGCCACCTCACGACAGACTAAAGCCCAGACAAGGGTGAATAAGGCCAGGCAGAAGGACATCTTGACCAGGACTGCATACTTAATGCAGTTACGCTCCTGTTCTCTGTTTAAATCTCATGTCAGAACCCTAACGATGGACAAAAAAGTCACTGGCCCTCTCTGGAATTCTTTGCAGTGTGCGGACAGACTGACTTCCTCTCTGTGCTTTTTACTGTTGCTTCTGTTGGCTGGTACTCTGTTAACAAGAACTGAACCTTGTTTGTTAGGGCCACTAAGGCTCAGGCTTGTGCCCCAAAACAACAGTTAGCATGACTACACTTTCTAAAGACTACAAAAGATATGGTACCAAAGATTACATTAAGACCATCTTACAGGCTCAACTGCAAGACAGATGGCTGTTAGGGATTCGTAAGTACCATGCTTAACCTCTATGAGCCAGGGAGGGTTTTCAAAGAGAATGACAAAATAAAGAAATGGAAGCCATCATGAATTCCTGAAATCTGAGAAGCCATAGTTCAACAAGCAGATGATTCCTTCACTAATAACTCTAGTAGAGCACAGCATAAAAGGGTTATCTAAGTGCCAGTTGTTTGGACAGAGGCACAGAACAGTAACTCTCCACCTCAGTGGGGAGGTTCACTGAAACACAGCCACACACTCAGGGCTAGTGCACAGAAAGTGGTAAGAGACAGAAGGCAGCTGTGGATTGCTCCGATCTCACAGGGGATCCAAAAGGCAATTCTAGCTTTTTTTTTTTTTCCCCAGTTTATAAATTGAGGGGGGGACACACATGAAAATATAACTTGCAGCAAAAAGAGGAACTTGCAGGGCATGGTGGTCTTCAATCCCAGCTTTGGGGAAGCAGAGGCAGGCAGTTCCAAGACAGCCAAGACTAAACAGATCATGTCTCAAAAACCAAAACGGGGGGACAAAAGCAACAGGAACTCTAATAGAGAGTTAAGTTCTGCAAGCAGCAGCTATTCACAAACTAAAGTTTTTAGGGGCAAACATTTTTTTTTTAAATGCAGTTTTACTAACATATACATGCAAAGTGACCATATTATACTATCACTTTCAAATATGAGGCACATTTAGAACATAAAAACAGCACTAGCCCAGGCAGAGAGTAACTTAGTTCTAGAATGGTCCCAAATGTTTGCTACTCAAAATGGAATAAAGTGGTCTCCTTTCCATATAACTTCTACTGTGCTTAAGCCTCAAGTACACAGTCCATCTCGGACTCAAACTACGATCAGCTAACCCCTCCTCACTGTAACCTTTTATGGATAAGTTTTTACAAAAAAGATGGGGGAGGAGCAGAGAGAGGGTTCAGTATGGCAAAGTCACTGCTGAACAAGCCTGGAGACGCTGGTTCAATCCCTGGAACCCACAGAAAGATGCAGGAGAGAACCTATCCCACAAAGCTGCCCTCTGAGCTCTGTATGAACACCATGGCATTTGTGTCTACATACACCTGTAATATACACAGAGAGATAATTTTTCAAAGATGCTGGGAAATTCAACAAAGAGAAAAAAGTGTGAGAGGTAAAGAATACACATTACAGACACCATAAGAGAATTTCAAGGGTCGCTGGTCCAAGTAAGACTGTAACAGTAATCTATAAAAACAAGAAAACTTTGTAAATGTGACAAAGAGATATTCACTAAGTCATCCTATCCAGTCCCTTCCTTCAGAGGTTTCTCTTCTCCTCCCCTTCCCCCCCCCTTTTTTGTTTTGTTTTGTTTTTCTGAGACAGGGTTTCTCTGTGTACCTCTGGTTATCCTGGAACTCATTCTGTAGACCAGGCTAGACCTGAACCCAGAAATCCACCTTCCTCTGCCTCCCAAGTGCTGGGATAAAAGGTGTGCGGTACCACTGCCTGCCAGAGAGGTTTTCATTTTCTAATAAGCTTATACATGGTGTCTCATGTACTCCAGGGTGACCTCAATATTAAATTAATTTATATATTTATTCTCTTTACATCCCAATCACAGGGCCCCTCTCCTCCCTGTCATACCCTCCCTCTTCCCCAGACCTCAACAGTTTTAAAGTTAAATATTATTTTATTTTTGTGACCTTGGTGTTTGTGTGCATGTGTGGGTGCCTGGTGAGACTAGAAGAAGATGCCTCAGGAGCTCAAGCTATAGGCGGAGGCTCTGAGCCACCCAATGTAATGTAGGTAGTGGGAGCTGAATGCCAGCTGTCTACAAGAGCAACAGGGGCTCTTAACTGCTGAGCCATCGCTCCAGCTCCAATAACCTTGATTTTTTTATCCTCCTACCCCTGCCTTCCGCAGGCTTGTGTCACCACGTCTGGTCTATGTGGTGCTGGAGACAGAATACGGGCACTCCACATGCTAGGAAGCAGTCTATCAACTAGGCTAACTCCTTAGCCTAAGAATGTTTATTGAGCAGAAAATTACTTTCATGGTGTTGATTTTCGCAAAATTTAAGCTAGTATTAATAACAGTGGGTGTCAATAAATGGTTAAACATCTGAAAAGACTAAGTTGCCAGATTTTTGAAAACCATAATAG